GTAACACCCAAATTTGGCTTTTACGATCTACGAACATCATCACAGCCCACCACTACAATCTATATGAATAACTACGACCAAAGCTCATGCAACTCCCGATTATGACCTCTATGGTCTATGATCGTCATTATAGCACACAACTATGACCTACATGACCAACTACAACCTACATGGCTCACAGCTCGTGAAGCTCCTAACTCCAACCTCTGTGGTTAACCAACATTCCTGAAGTAACCATCTTTGACCCACATGACCAATGACTACCATAACTCAGCTTATACGAAAAGTGAGAGCTACAACCACTATCTTTAACATTCATGGGGTACTATTGTCTCCATAGCTATTGACTATTTTCGGTAAGATCATCTATCATTAATAATTACATTCATTAAAGCCAAACTATTAATTTTATCAATGAAATATTATTTTTATAATGATCAAATTTTTAACTCTATCTTCACTAATTCAAGAGAAGAGTGGACACGAGAACTCACTATTAATAGTGAATTATTTCACTAGGGTAAGCCAAGTAGTTTTTTCAAATTTCTAGGGTTTTCATGTAAAAATTGACGGGTCTTCTTTTGCTTGCTTCTTTTTTTAATTACTTGAGTGTTTGATGAGTTGTCGTGCAATGCTAAGACGTTAATTCATTATTCTATCATTACAAAACTCCCAACACACTTCAAGCTTCTCCTTTGGTTTGCACTTGCGGGTAGCTAATTTGCACTTATCATTACCAAAACATTACTTTAATAATCATTTAAAAAAACTTTGCCTAATCTTAATAAATAATTAAACATGAAATTAAAGTAGTTGGAAGCTCACTATAACCCTAACCCATTAGGTCTGATCAAAGAAAAGTCAATGTGGCTTAGAGATTAACAAATTGACTATTCAGGTCAATCAAAGAAAAGTCAATGTGGCTTAGAGATTAACAAAATTGACTATTCAGGCAATTTTTTTTATTTTAAATTATGACTGACAAATAGTTAAGTTCAAGTTTTGAATTCAGAATGTGCATAAAAAAACTTTTTTCAAATAGTAATCCACTGATCATTTTACTTCCATGGTGAATTTTGAAATGTTGAATTTGGTGGATTTAAAATGTTGGGTTCAAATTTGTTAATAATTACTCGACAACCTTATTGACTTGAGATTAGAACAAGGAAAGTAAATAAATAAGGCTAGTTTTTATTATGTTGCAAGAATAATAGAGGACATAAGTAAATAATTAGATGTCATCGCAGCTCACTCTTTCTCTCTTTTTAGATGCTCAAGTGAAAGCACATTGTAAGACTACACAAGTAAATACTTGTAATCCTTGGAGGGGCAAACCCCACACCAAAAATAGTGCCGACATAAGACTACACAAGTAAATACTTGTAATCCTTGGAATAATTTGGAATTTTGGATCTAATCTTTTTGCCTGGAGAACCCTAAAGATGTGCATCTCAAGCAAGTTGAGCAAGTAACTTTGATGCCTGGTTGATTTTATGAATGTCCATCCCCAAACTGTGTCACAAATTGATAAAAAAAACTAAGGTTTGATTCTAAGAAAATATATTAAATATAGAATCAATTAAACTAATAAAAATGTCAAAATTATTAAATATAAATGACATATCTCCGAGCATTGATATTATATCATTCATCACTAATTTATGTAAATCTCAATAGATTTAAATGAATAGATCACACATAAAACTTCTAATATCATTAGAAAGAGGTTTGTTTCAATTCATATAAAGATTTCTTAAGCTTGCACGCCAAATATTATTAATCTGTGGAAGAGAATCCCTCTTTTTATTTCAAAAAAGCCTCCTCCTCTATATCTTCATTAAAAAATACAAATTTTAAATCCATTTGTTAATACTCCAAATTAAAATTCATAACAAGAGCAATTAAAAGCATGAAAGAATATTTCTTAGATATGGGAGAAAATGTCTCTTTGTAATTAATTATCGTTTATTAAGTCTTTTAGCAACGGGCCTTATTTAACGTCTTTTTATATTGCTTAATGAGTCACTTTTTTGGTATAGACCTACTCACAACATATAGATTTTACACTATTAGGTTACTCAACAAGATCTCAAACTTTATTATGTGTCGTAGAATTCATCTTTTTTTTTATGGCATCAAATCATAAATCAAATTATTTATAATTCATGGCTTGTGATAGTATTTTGGGATTGTTTTTAGCTCCGGTATTATAATAGGAGTCTTGAAGGTATATAATATAATCACTAAGAATTTTTTATCTTCTTTTTCTAGTTGATCTTTTCTATGTTGTTACAACCTCATCTTCAGGAGTTAGGTGTTCAATTATATCATATATATCATGGATAATTGAATCTACCAGTTTATTAGAGTTAATTTATTGAACCTCAACTAAGGATTGTCTAACACCCATTTCAATTTTAAGAGAATGATTACCAATAATTAACCTATTATTTAAAATAGGAGCATGAGCATCTATATGACCTTTTAAGAACAGAGTTTTGTAATATATCACTCTCATTGGTTCGGTCATGCTAAAAAATTTTTGGATTGCTTGATTCCACACTCTTAGTATTATTTGATATATAATAAAATATTTAACCATTAGACTCTTAAGCATATTAAATGAAATACTCACTAATGGCTCTTTGATCCAGCTTATTTTTTTATGAATTATAATTTTTAATCTCACGCAAGCATCCACATACATGCATATGTCATTAACTTGGTTTCCAATATTTCCATAACTTATAAGATGTTTTTGGGATAACCTTGGTTAACACTCAACGTAATATGTACATTATCATTTTTAAAGCTTCATTCCATAAAAACTTAAGCAATTTGGAGCTATAAATCATGTTTTTCATGATGCTCATTAATATTCAACTCATTCTTACATTCGCATATTGAGAAATAATCTCTTTCTCTTTAAGAAAATTTTTAAATAATTCAGCCACATGTATATCTTTAGTATAACTCTCATAATACTCACCACTTCTCACAAATCTTATATCAAATAACATTTTTTTTTAATCTAAAGAAAATTGAGAAACATGAATTGTGAGTAATCATCAATGAGGATTATAAAATATTTTGGATCATGAGAATTCATATCGGGATAATAAATATGTTGTATGATTTCTTATACGTTCATACTCATCTTTGCACATTTATTTGACTTGTTAGTTTACTTATCCTTTTTGCTACTTATTATAGTATCAAAATCAATGAAATCCAAAATATTAAATACTCCTAAATTTGGTAATTGATTAAATCTATTTATGGAGATATCCTTTAATCTTCAGTGCTACGACATTGATAATATTCAACCCAAATGTACAAGTCTAGAAACTAAAACTAATACATAATAGAATTAGATACGTCTAATCTAAAAGTAAACTAATTATTAAGTACCATATCTTAGTAGTTTCTCAAATAAAATATATATGATTCCTCAAAATATGTGTTGTTCACATCCTACTAGCTTTCTGTCATTTTCTATATCTTATAAGGCATTATAAAAATAAATTAAAAATTCAGAATCAATTTGCTAAGTTACAAAAAATGTTAATCTTATTGAATTCAAAACAAATAAATATGCTATTTTATATTTCTTATCATGCCAATTTCCAATCTGATATAAACCTTTTTTTTTTTCATGTGCCAATTTATATATATATTTTTTCTATAATTCATCCCTTTTCTATGATTTTAAAAGGACTTAAATATTTTAAATATCTTGAGACATAATAAGTGTTTTATATAATTGTAGATAAATATATTTGTAGAATTCATAGAGAGAGAATGGTTCCGTTGAAACTACTTCACCGCAAATTGCAGATTGGGATTGCGAAGAAAAACTATCTTTACCCGAACTTTGAAAAAAACTATTATGCATAATCAATGATGAAAATAATTAGGATTATGATATTTAATTAACATGTAAATTGAGTTTATCCATATACCAGACTGAAGTATAAACAAATATTTTATTGTCTCAAGATAAGGATTATGGGGAGCATTATTCTCAAATATCACCTTTTTAAGGAAAAAATGTGTGTGTCAATATCAATATCTATATATATATATATATATATATATATATATATATTGGCTAATAAATAAATTTTAAAAATAGCCAACAAAAATAGGTATTGAACTTGTAATCGGTTCAAGCCAGATGGAGTGACCGGGCCTTCGAGTTTGCTTTCACGAACCTTGGCCCAAATGAAAAACGTTTTGATTACTGGACTTAGGAAGTTAAGCCTGCTAACTTTTTTCCGACTGCCATCATAAATATGCAAATAAAATAAAATAAAATAAATAAATATCTAACGCTAAATAATATGATTCTCTGAGGAAAAAAATAAGAGTACGGAGAGCGGAATTCGGAAGTAGAATTACATCAGGGCCATGCACAAAATATAACATGTACCACATATATAACAAGTAGATGATGTTCAGATGTAATTCTATATGTAATTCCATGTAATATTTTTTCTAAGGAAGAAATGAAAGGTGATTTAACATCTTTTAAGTTACTTGACGCATCCGAATGCCATTTAGCTTCCCTCAAATGAAAAAAATATTAGCATGCGGAGTTTGGAAGTATACAGACTCAAATAACATCATGACTTGTGACACATTTAAATCGGATCAGTGCAACTCAAAATACAAGCATGATATAATTTTATACACTGCTTGTATCCTGAGGTACAAATATAATAGAAATAGGATACAAAACTTGATATAATTTTTGTAGTCTGGCCAGTCATACATCACGATATTATTGAAGTCTGAATATAATACTCCTCGTAGATAGAGAGTAAATTTGTAGCAGGTAAAGCCTGACCGTAAAATAGTTTATAGCTCTCGAGCTTTTCTATTCATAACTTTTTCTTTTTTTGGTGTGCAAAACAAATCATGTAATTTAAATTAATCACTATTATTATAATACTAAGCAATATAATAATTCAAACTAACGGAAGAAATTATGGACGGTACACCCCAAAAAAATCTATCGGCAAATTTAATGAGCTTAAATTCGAATCCTAATACATTTTTTTTTTAATCAGTAATGCTCCAAACAAGGAAGGTAGGTTTTGTTTATTCTTTTTTTTTTAATTTTTTACAGTGTTCTTCTTCCAAAAAAAACAAAGAAGCACTGCGTAAACATTTAGTTCTTTCTTGATCTGCATCTTTCCCACGCCTTAATGAGCTGTTCCGGCGTCTTCCTCGCAGCCATCGACGACATGACTCTCGCTAATATCACCTTCCTCACCAAAGATCTCCATGTGGCATCATCCCCTTTCTTCTTCTCCTCCCCCTCCCCCGACGCCCTCACCTTAAATTGCCTGAAACATAAATCAAACCCCAAATCACTAATTAAAAAGCACAAAGAAAGCATTTTTTATGAGTATCAACGGCATAATCATTCAATCTCTACCTGCAAAGCGGCACCTTGCAGAGTTCCCGATCACATATCGACGAATGAAGCCGAAAAAGCTGCCACATCCGCTTACACTGGATACATCCCCCACCGCCGGCGAGCTTCTTCCCGCATTTGGCAAAGTGTTTGATAAGAAACTGCAGCGATTCGCACATGCCGAAGCTGGTGCAAGGTCCCCTGCTTCTGCGCGGCGGTTTCCCGTCATGCGGCCCGACAACAGTGCACCCTTCCGTGCAAATATGCTCCAAGCACTGCATAGCCTGGCTGAGTTGCAGAAATACCTCCTGATCAACCCTCTCTCTCCTCCACCTCTTTCTCCTCTGCTCCCCCTCCTCCATAAATTGTAAAATCTCTAGCTCGAGCCGCGGGTCATGCTTCTGAACAAACCGCCAACCCTCCGTCCGTTGCAAAGCGGCGAAGTCCTTCGCCGCTACGGCGAGGCAACGCTGGCGAAGCTTCGGCGCGTCGCAGAGCTGGGCGAGTTTCATAACGTCCACTGCGTCGTCCGATTCGACCTGCTTACCAACGGCTGCCTCGCAGCGCCGCTTTAGCCAACCGATACGGTAGGAGTGGGAGAGCACGAGGAGCTGAACGCCGTAAAGCTTCATCGCGGCGGTTTCCTCAGGCAGCGGCCGCCCTCCCTCGCCGGCGTTGAGTAAGCCGAGGAATTCGAGGACGGCGTTGTGAGGAGCGCCGAGGATTTTTATCTTCTGATGCGAGATCATGCTCTCTAGCACCGGCGAGGCGGAAGCCTGCAGTTTTGGGCAGAAATGGAGAACTAATTAAGAAAATTAATCTTTTCACAACAGATCAGAGGAATTGAGTTGGGAAATTTTTTCTTACTTTTTTTTTGTTTGAAGGAATAACTCATCAATTGAAACAAGATCAAAACCAGATTTGACTTATTGAATAAATATAACCCAAAAAAAAACAGATTTTTCATAATTCCAGAAAAAATGTTTGCAAAAATTACAAGAAAATAAATCAGGCGAGTTTTTATGTGTTTATTCCCTAAATTTCTTCGCATCAAACAAACTTTAAAACACCTGTGAAAATTTTAACATAAAAAATGGAGTTTTTGGGGGGTTACCAGAACGCTGGAATGCGCCGGGATGCTATGGCCGCCGACTGTAACGACATGAACGTCGGCTGGCGACATGTAACGCTGCCGGAAATCGTAGGAGATGGCCGGAGCAATCATGGATTGCTTTGCAAGAGAAATCGAAGAAGGGAAGAACAAGGGAAATGATAGGAGGACAAAGAAAAGGGGAGAGGGATATATATATAGATATATATAGGGGGCAGTTTATAAGCAAAATGTGTTTTATATTTCGCTAATGACGTGGACGATTAAGCTGCCGCGTCCGGCTTGAGTGGAATGGTCCTTGCTGATCTGTGCAAGGAGTGGGCTCCATCGTCTGGTAAGTGGCTTAGCGGAGCCAGGAGATGCTACCACGCCATAGCGGCTGTGGGCGGCGCCGTGCCGCGACGGCCATGTTGTAGTTGTTGTTTTTTTTGTTTTTGTATTTAAAGTTTAACGAAAGTTCGGTTGCTGTAAATACAGAAATAAGGTGATTTAAAGCACTTGCGGTTAACATGGTTGGAATAGGCTTAATTTAGAAAGCCTGTGTGGCGGGAGGCATTGGCGTGCTGTTGGGAGGTTGGTGTCAGGGTGTATGTTATATGGATTATAATGTTTTGAGATAGTTTGTTTGATCGGTTGGTTAGTAATTTTTCTTTGTGGTTTTATTCTGATGTTCTTAATTTATTTGCTTCAGTAGCATTGCATATATATAGTCTTGCAAGGATGTTTTTCTTAGCGGACTTTATAGAGAAGGGAATTATTTTTAGTTAATAAGTTGAGTTCAAATTTGATTTGGATTTAATCAGCTTAGAATCGGCATGATTCGAACGTGAGATATGAATGCATCAAAGAAAAATATTATGAAATGATAAATACGGACTAATAGAAATGAAGTTGGATTTAAGAAAATATTTAGGAAATGAAGTTAGATATAAAACTATGTAGGTTGGTGGATCAAAATCGAGTTAATGGCTCAAAACTTCAACTAATTAATCAAACGTGAAAGTTATATGAGCTAAAATTTTTTAACTCAAATATGACATGAGAGTCAACTCAAATTCCAATATTTTCAGTGACTTCATACCAGATTCTCTTTGTCATGTCATTTGTTGATGCTTCTAAATTGGGCATAGATTAGACAATACATTTATCTCAAGTATAGTGTGTTCGATTCGCACTGACCTAACCTTTGACCACTAATATGAGCCCTTAAAGCACACCTACCTCAAAAGCAATATGTTACATGTGAAAATAAATTTGAAAAAAAAATCAAATTCCTTACTTGCCCTAAAATTAAAATCAATAAGATGAAAAAAGTTCAATTAAAAAAATAAATATAATGCAGAAACTAAATGGATTTTGTTTCAAGTTAGTTTGATATATTGATTTTTTTTTAGCTTTATACATATTTATATGCTCTATATCGTATATTATGCTGATTGGAAATATATTCAAATTAGAAGGTTTAAGGTCCAAATTAATTCGAGTCTAAAAAGAGTAAAAAATGCCTCCAAATAAGGTCACAGCACATTAATTTTCACTAACGTGTTATGTCTAAATGTCAAATTTTGGATGTTTCATACGTAAGTACATAAGAATTGTGCGGCATGTATTTCAAGAGTGTGAAGAGCAGGTGAGGGATACTTGCTGGGCAGACATGATTTTGATTAGGTTTAGGCTGGCCGTAATAATGTCTGCGCCAGAACCTACCCGAGGCCGTACCACCATGCACTATTTAATAGCATATGGATGATCTCAAATTAATAAAACAATTAGCGTGTTTAATACTGACTGCGTTTTTTATGTAAGCAATCAATACTTCAAATAAATAACCATTTGAAGCCAGTTATTGTAATATCAATTTTTTTTTTT